TCTCACCGATGTGTACATGTAGCGCCCTCTATCTCACTCTCACCGATGTGTACATGTAGCGCCCTCTATCTCACGCTCACCGATGTGTACATGTAGCGCCCTCTATCTCACTCTCACCGATGTGTACATGTAGCCAGGGCTCGAATTAACCGACGGCACTGACGGCAATTGCCCTTTTCTGTAATTGCCGTCGGTGCCTCTGGCTAGACTGGTTTGCGGCCGCACTGTTTGTCGCAGAGCATGTACATTGTCTAGCAGAGCGTGAGGCCGGATACCAGTCTACCCTTCGGCAAAAACAATAACGTGGCTTGCTGCCAACCGCTGCCAGTAGACGATCGATAAATTGTGCACCTGTGTATGCCCGTGGTAGAACACGAATATTTAAATGCTGCACGTGGACTCGGCCCGCGCGCGAATATATAAAGCTAAAATTGGATAACCAATGTTATCACTGCGTTGTATTTACATAGTAGATAGCTAGCAGCCTATGATTGTATTTCCAAAGAAAAAGATTTGCTGATTTGCTGACAAAACATTATTTTAAAGTCTAGATCTATGCAAATAGCATTGAAAATTATGTTAAACTGGGCCTACTTTTTTGTACATCAGAAGCAAGACGATGTTGATGTATTAATTTGTTATGAGTTTTCCTTTATTTTAGAAAAGTGCCTTGGTGCTCTTCTCAAATTGTGAGAGTTGCCTTGATGCCTTTTAAAATTGCCTCGGTGCCCATCCATTTTAGAGAAAATTCAAGGCAATTTCTCACATGCCCCCCCAAAAATTGCCTTGCCCCTCTCGTCGCTTAAATCGAGGCCTGCATGTAGCGCCCTCTGTCTGCGCCATGCTTACTGTCTTAGCGTATAGCGGCGTTGTTCTTGCAGTGTTTGTCACGCTGGCCTGCTGCGTGTCGCTGCAGCTAGGCCGGCAGCCGGAGGTTCTGTTTGCTGTCATGATGTTCAGCCTGTTCCTGTTCTACCAGGCACACTGGACGACATACGTCTGTGGATACCTCCGATTCGGATAGTAAGTCTGCTTGGCTGTTTCACCGGCGTGTACATTTCTCTACGGTCGTGACTACACATTGTGCTGTGAATTTATGTGCATTGCAACCACCTTTTTTTAGGGGCAGCTGATTGGGTTAGAGAGAAGTGAGGAGTGATTGATTTTTTAGAACGATTAGGAAAATGAATTGAGAGAGTTGAAGTGAATAGAGTTTTAGTACAGAAGAGCCAGGACTGCGATAGAATTGAAGGAAGGACGCCCAGGTAAGATTGAGAGGAAGGGGGATGGGAGAGCAATGAGAGAGAGAGTAGAAGAGGAAGGAGGAAGAGAGAGAAGAGAGAGAGGAGCTAGACTTGGAGATTGGAGATGTTGGACCACAGTATAGCATACTTATGATTACATTGCATCATGAATGTATCTACATTGCACCACCTTTACAACCACGGTATAGAACATCGTCATTAAATTGCACTGTGGATGTATCTACATTGCACCCCCTTTACAACCACAGTACAGAACATTCATACATTGTACTGTGGATGTATACATTGCACCATCTTTACAACCACAGTACAGAACATTGATACATTGCACTGTGGATGTATCTACATTGCACCATCTTTACAACCACAGTACAGAACATTGATACATTGTACTGTGGATGTATCTACATTGCACCATCTTTACAACCACAGTAGAACATTCATTACATTGCACTGTGGATGTATCTACATTGCACCATCTTTACAACCACAGTACAGAACATTCATTAAATTGCACTGTGGATGTATCTACATTGCACCATCTTTACAACCACAGTACAGAACATTGATACATTGCACTGTGAGTGTATCTACATTGCACCACCTTTATAACAAGAGTGCAAAACATTCATACATTGCACTGTGAGTGTATCTACATTGCACCACCTTTATAACAAGAGTGCAGAACATTCATTACATTGCACTGTGGATGTATCTACATTGCACCATCTTTACAACCACAGTACAGAACATTGATACATTGTACTGTGGATGTATCTACATTGCACCACCTTTACAACCCCGGTATAGAACATTCGTCATTAAATTGCACTGTGAATGTATCTACATTGCACCATCTTTACAACCATGTATAGAACATTCATTACATTGCACTGTGGATGTATCTACATTGCACCACCTTTACAACCACAGTACAGAACATTCATACATTGTACTGTGAATGTATCTACATTGCACCACCTTTATAACAAGAGTGCAAACATTCATACATTGCCACTGTGGATGTATCTACATTGCACCATCTTTACAACACCGTATAGAACATTCATTACATTGCACTGTGGATGTATCTACATTGCACCACCTTTACAACCAAGTACAGAACATTTATACATGTACTGTGAATGTATCTACATTGCACCACCTTTATAACAAGAGTGCAAACATTCATACATTGCACTGTGGATGTATCTACATTGCACCATCTTTACAACCACGGTATAGAACATTCATTACATTGCACTGTGGATGTATCTACATTGCACCAGCTTTACAACCACAGTACAGAACATTGATACATTGTACTGTGAATGTATCTACATTGCACGATCTTTATAACAAGAGTGCAAACATTCATACATTGCACTGTGAGTGTATCTACATTGCACCACCTTTACAACCACAGTGCAGCAGACCAACTATTACACTGTAGTGTGAATGCACTCACATTGCACCACAATTGTTGATACATTGCGCTGTGATTACGATTACATTGCACCATGATTATGATTACATTGCATCATACTTATTGTCACATTGCACTGTGGTTGTGATTACATTGCACTGTGATTAACATTTATTTTACACTGTTATTGTGATTACATTGCACCGTGATTATAATTACTTGCATTGCAAATGTGTCGGCATTACACCATTATTATCAATACATTTGTATTGATGATGTTGACAGTGCATCAACATTGCACTGAAGCTTCATTATGACCATGTTACATAGTTATGGCAACATAAATTAGAGCATTATCTGTTTACATCATTGTAACCTGGCCTTATTTACCAGTTCATTTGATTTTCAGTTTTGATGTTACGGAATCACACTTTTGTATCATCGCCATCCATCTCTTTTGTGCCATTTTTGGTGCTGCCATCTTTTATGAGCTGGAAGTAAGTGCATAATTGTGTCATCGCAATGTGTACGTGTTGCCATAGAAACACGAAGCTTACGTAGTGCAGCAGTGTTTCCTATGGTGATTTAGTATAGCCAAGTATACATTCAACAAGAGAGTGATCTTCTTACAGCTTACCCATTGGTTTGAGTTTTTGGCAACTTTAAAATGCGGCGTTAGAGTGCTACCAATGTTTGCACAACTTGATGTGCATTCACCATGGTGACGCATTCACGTAGCTGCTGTAATTCCTAGAACTCGAATCAATGAAGTAGTAACTGTAGGCTTTCATTCTCTTGTTGCATGTGTGTGCGCTTAGTATTGTAGCTTTTGTCAGTGTTTTTTCCTGTCTCTGCAGCATTGACGTAACAGAAACGCAAGTCGCAGCTGTAGGAATGTACTTGGCGTCGGCTGTGTTTGGCTCGGTCGTGTGGGAAGCCCACGTAAGTTCACGCTATGTTGCTTCTTCCTGTCTCCTCAGAAACTCTAGCCTTTTGGCAGGAAAGCTGGAAGTGGGAACCCGGGGGGGTGGGGGGGGGGTGACCAACGTTGCTATATACGGTGCTATATGTTCGTGTGTTGGTATGGTTGTTGCCATGTTTTGCTGTAGATATAGGTCATCGTGACTTAATTTCTCCTGCTGTGTATTTACCATATTTACGCATGTATAAGATGCACTCGTTTATAAGTCGCACCCCAAGTACTGCATTGAAAATTGGTGCAAAATTAATATAGGAAATATACATGGAATATGTATTGATATTGAATATTGGTGTTACGTTGAATAATGGTTGCTAAAGCAAGTCGCCACATTGCAACACATTTATCGACAAAAGTGAATTATGAACACATTTTTGATACATTGGTACAAAATTATTGAACACATATAAAATGCATGCATGATGTTAAGTATAACAATATAGAAGATCAATATTAAGATCAATTAAGAATCAAGTGAAATCAATTCACAATTCATACAATTTAAATCTATCAAATTCTCCATCATCACTCTTGCCAAAGAGTGTCATAGTGGGGTCATAGTAATGCTATCTATTAGTAGTTTGTGGTAGTTTCTATTAACTGGACTATATACAGTTGGCAAAATGAGCTCCGGGATTATTGGCCTCATGTATAAGTCATCCCAGCTTTTTATATTGAATTTAGGTACTAGAAGTGCGACTTATACGCGAGTTAATATGGTAGTATGTTTCTATATAATGTCACAGGTTGCTCAGGTTGGAAGCGTAAATAAAACTCATGATGAATTTTATTAAATTAAAAATAGGTTATATTCATTCTTGTGCACACATTATCTGACCAATTTGGTTGAAATTCATTCTAAAGTTTATGTCCAGTGTCAGGTTTCATATAAATCGGCATGATATAATGCAATAATTTATATTAATTACAACTCGTGCGTGGACGACACGTACACAGACTGTAAGGTTCGTGGGAGACTAAAGGAGACTGTGGGTAACTCACTTTCACTTCATTCTGCCCACGGATACACAGTGGAAATGATTTGCACCGCTTACCCTGCTTTACGTTTTTCCCAATCTGTTATTTGTTATTTGTCTCTTTTATTTTTTGTATTACTCTTATGTGATATTTGTTGTGTTATTTAGATCCCCGTCGTCGGGGTGCCGTTGTGGGTGCTGCCCGTAGTGTTTGTCTTCCTGGGAGGTGGAATTGCCTCACGTAGTATGATCAACGTGATTTTCACGGGAGGAGTTGGAAAGAACAAGTCAACTGTCGCCGTAAGTGCGACACACTACCACAGCTCTGTGTATGTCTGTCTGTCCATTCGTTTGCCTACCTGCCTTCTTGCCTGCCTACCTGTCTGTCTGTCTGTCTGTCTACATATATATATAATATAATTATTATATATATATTTATATACAGTGTAGCCCCGTTATAATGCGATGGTTGGGGTACATAAAATGTCATCGCGAAAAAAGCGTTGTTGCACTAAATTGGGGTTATATATACGTGGCTATATAAGAGCAAAAAAAGGGGGCCCAACGACTCTTCGCGTTATATCCGAATTTGCGTTAAATCGGGGCGTGTAAAATCGTGGTTCCACTGTATATATATATATATATATATATATATATATACTGTTGTAGCTACGCCGGTCGGCGTTGGTCGGTAATAGCTGACTCTGGTCTTGGTCGACCGGCACGCAGCTTTAAATAACATCCTTCCGACCGGCACAAAAATGATTGAGTTTGGGTAAAATTATCTTCAAAATAGTGAGCAATCTACAAATAATCACAACTGATCCACTTAGTTGCTCCACTTAGGTGATCCACCCTGTACCCCCGGCCTTGAACCGCTCACTACGCTCGCAATCACTGATGTTAGCCGGCACTAAAATTGTCCTGGCTACAACCCTGTATATATATATAGTGTTTCCCCTGCATTGACACGAGCGAGGTGGGCCGCCTCGCTCAAATTCTCAGCCGCCACACAGAAATTTGTCCAAAGCACCGCCTCGCTGACGAGTTCTTCCTTCAATAAACTACACATTATTGAACTAAAATCGAAATAAAGCTTAGACTGCACCAAGTTGCACCATTTTTTCAAAAATTTCATGGCCCCGGACCCCCCTAGCTGTGCGAGCACATTCACTGCTCGCTTTGCTACGGCCTCGAAATGCGCAAACACGCCAAAAAAAATTACCACCTCACAGACCTTTTCAGCCAGGGGAAACACTGTATATCTATATATATATATATATATTACACTCTCCCTCATTCTTTTCGAATTATTATTTGAAATTGCGGATTAAACCAAAGGCAAAACTTTTCTGTAATGACAGCTGAATTGATTGGTTGCAGGACACGAGCGTGTTGTTTCCTCTCATTCCGATCCTGACGACAATCATACCCGCATACATCATCTATAAGAAGTCACCGAGTGCTCTGTTCGAGAATCATCCCTGTCTCTACATCATCGCATTCGGTCTTGTGTCTTCCAAGATCACCAACCGACTCGTGGTGAGTAGAAAAAGTGTCACTGTGGCTGATTTCCACTGTGTGGAATCCCCCGGGTCCATAGCCTGGGCAAATTTCTAGTGGGGAGGGGCAAAATTTAAAGCTCTCAGTCAACATAGTGTGTTGAGGGTGCGTGAAATGGTTTCAAGGATGGCTATGTAACAATTTACACGTATTTTAGGGGTGTAGGTATACCAGTTTCCCTCCTTAAAGAGACTCCGGTGAGTAATGTAAATATTGTGCCACTCGCACTAGTGTAAAATTGATATAAAACAAATGTCGTTTCGTCCACCAGGTAGCGCACATGACAAAGAGCGAGCTGGATATGTGGGATTCGTCATTAAGGGGCCCGGCGATGCTCTTCCTCAACCAGTACTTCAACACTCCGCTCAGCGAGTACACGGTGTTGTGGTTCTGTGTGGTAGGAAACGCTCTGCATGTAGTTAAAACTGCATGTTCTCGCAGCAAAATGCATAGATATACCTACTGTGAGCTCGTCCGTGTTGCAAAAACTCACTACAACTTATTTGTCTTGCTACTTTCACAACATTTCTTCATAAAATCTAAACAAAAGTACTCATTTTAGGAAAGTAGCAGCACAGGATGTTTACAGTGTTTACACATCCGGTACACAGCCGAGCGAACATTGTGCTGCATTAACATTTCTTTTCTGTGATAACACATGTTATACTTTATTGTTCGATGTTTACTCAGTAGGAAATTGTGAAATTTTTGTTTAAATCATATGTTATCTACATTAGTTATGCAATCAGGAAACAAATATATGATATATTATATTATGTAGTTTTCGTGCCAGGAACTATTGGCGCTAGTGTAGGCTTACTGTTGGCCCTTCACACCAAAACAACTTATGTATATCTATACGCCGAAACCGCGTCGGACGCGGTTTTGAAAATCCCAATGTTTGCAGCACATTTCTGGCTCAATAAGAACATTTCGTGATATTTGCATACTGCAAGTATGCTCACAGTAGGTGTATATAGGCTTTATACTCACAGTAGGTGTATGTAGGCTTTATACTCACAGTAGGTGTATGTAGGCTTTTTGTTGCGAGGTTTATCCACTTTAATGCGTGAATCAGATAACGTAATTGACCCATCTGCCCGAGTGAGCAGACCGTTACCTCCCAGTCCGATATCGTTGCTAGGTCGGTCAAGCTAGCCCAGATTATACGTGTTTTCATGTGTACACGCTACACCGTAGACTTTATGGCACTTTGCTGCCAAGCATTTTCTTTTGAAATGTCTCATTTCAACAGTGGTTAGCCAGGTTAGGATTAGGGTGGGCTAGGTTAGAGCTGCCTGTCCGTCATGAGAAGCAGATAGGATTTGTTGCACGCATCAATCCGATGGAAAGCTATGCCCATCCGCATCGCTAATTACCTCATTAACTCGTTAATTCCGTCATTGATCGCATCATTTTGTGTTTTCAGCTGTACTGCCTCTTCGACCTTGTACAGTACAGCACGCGGGTGTGCCAGCAGATCTGCAGCTATCTCAACATCTACTGCTTCTCCATCGAGATGCCCGCGAAGGCGCCAGCCCCCGAACCTAGCGACCCGAAGCGACCAATCACGCGGCTCTACTCCCGCAGCCGCGAGAACTTAGAGTGAAACTGAGCGGGAAGAAGCTGGTGGCCATATTAGTCGAAGTGCGAGCAAAGCGCCACCTGGTGGCAGTTGACCACCGAGTTGGTGAACGTTGCCTTGCTGGTTGTGTCTCAGCTGCTGCAGGTGTCGTCGCGCGTGATGAGCGAGTCAGCAGCGTCGTGTCATTGGTTGGGGGTCAGCCCCGTCTCAATGGTCGGCGCGCGAATGTCCCAGGTTGAGAGGTCAGGGTCGGCAGTATGACGCTGCGTGGGCGGCAGTTGTCTAGAAGGCACGCTCATGTGTTTTTATCTGTCCACTGTGGGATGCGGCAATTTGATCTTCGAATAGATGTGCTTTTTGAGCTTGCAGGATAATTGCAGTGATGCCTTCTAAAGAGATCTTCCTGTAAATGTATAGAACAAATACATTAAGGGAAAATATCAGGTTTTTATGCCCTATTCGATGTTAGTGTGGCGACAGGGGGAGGGGGGGGGACTAGCACATTATTCTGCAATGCTAGTGATCCGTATCCTTCCTATGGGTTCGTAACTGTGACTGCTGAGAAAACTTTGCCATATGAACGGTGCTGTCACCTAGCGATCAGTGCATGCGCTTGAACAATTGAGAATTCGAGTGCTTTGTGTCATGTAGCCCCTGGGGCAGAGGGAGGGGGTAACTACTCGTTTGATGACCACTACTGTTGCTCCCAATGGTGGTAGAATTTCACATTCACTTGGCAAAGCTGTTGATCCTTGGCAGTCAGCAGTGTTCTTTACATTCCTATGTTCGTATGAGATTTTTGCATGCAGCTGTCATGATAACGACGACACATAATACAACAGAGGCAATTAATAACGATTGATTGAATTTGCCCAAGTAGGAATGTTCAAATGTGATGGGACAATACGAGTTGGTGTCGTGTGTATCTTGTGACAGCTCTTGGCAGACTGGCTAGATGTTGTTATTATTGTTTGTGTGCCATATACCCATAACAATCACTTGTTTGTGTTTCTTATGCTGATGCAATGTTACTGTTCATCGCACGCGAAATGTTCTGTGAAATAGGTGTATGACTTGCATGAATATGAATAGTTATAGAGTGAAACATAAATATTTGAAGGAAAGCAGAGGTCACCTTCAAGCTTTCAGTATGACCTTTAGCAAGGTTGCTCACGGCCATTCTACAAAATGGCTAGAGCATTCTATCAGGAGTCTATCAATATTGATATATATATATATATATATTGATAGACTCCTGATTCTATCATGCTATGCAGGAGATTTGGTCTGGAAACTGTAATGGTTATATTCCTGGATTGAGTTTTTATTTGAGAAGTTCTATCGTAAATTCTCTTCTCTGCTCGTATAATCGGTAACCATTTAGTAGCCAATCCTCGAGTGCCAATGCCAGTTCATTCTAAATATTTGTTCATGGTAGATAGCCAGTGGCAACGTTTTTTATCGATTTATTTTAAACAGTCATAACATTGTTTTATTATTACTGTTTAAAAGTGAAGTGGACACATTGATGTTTTATCATTATTTTTTTAAATTGCCACAAATCTTTCCAACTTATTCATGTCCCATCAATCATCAGAAAATCAGTAAATTTGTAACATGTACTTCTATAAATCTTACCTATATAAATAATAACCACATCGGCACAGACTTGGAATGCACACTGAAAACTATAAATATTGGCTACCATGCAGCAGTTACTTTGCATGTTCGTTCAGGCACTACCATTGTACGTAAAATGTTGCACCATACAAAATTTTTATTATTATTATTAATATTATTATTATTGTCGTAGTTGTTATTGTTATTGTTCTCCTTCTTGCATACGTGTGCGCGTGCGGTGTGTATGCATTATTAATTGTGACAGTGGAGGAAAAGTGTGACACGATGAGGTGTTAATTAAACGAGTCGTCGGTGACGTTGTATAGATAGTAAACATTTCTTTCACTGTACACCATCGTTTACAAATACAAGAGCAGTGTCGCTGGTAGCTGCTCGATGCAACGTGAAAAATACGTGAACTTCTGTTGTCTTGTGAGTAATTCTTCAATCAACTGCATACAATCTCCACTGTTAATATATCAATCAGAATTCAGACGGAGGTAAACGTGAAACGTAATATAATTTATCAGTTCATCTAAACGTGACAGATGTTCATACGCTCACACGCCGACGCACGCACGCACGCACGCACGCACGCACGTACGTACATAAACGTAGCGAGTTTCATCCATATAAACTCGATTCATGGGGTGGTCGATTTTGATTTGGAATGCATTAGTTGCCTAGTAACGGCCTAGATATACCGTAATCTCCCGTACCGGCTTGAATATAGACACCCCCCGATATTATACTCCGTTCGTTGATGTCATAGGGAAATAACTCGAACAGATATATGTCGCACGAATAAGTTGTAGGCCCTATGTGTGTTTGTGTGACTGTAAAAATGCGTATTATAGCCGTATATCCACAGTACGTGTCCATATCCACAGTTGTTGGGGGGGGAGGGGGAGGGGGTGAAACAGTTTGAGGCTGAAACCAGCATTTGATTGGCTAACTTTTTACCATGGAACGGATTGGCCCGTGGGCGATACTATCGCGAGAAGGGGCGATGGGAAATATCTGAGGGGAAATGAATTGAGAGCGGAGGAGAGGAAAGTGAGAGAGGCCGCAATAATGCAAAACGCGAGCTGTGCCACACGATGCGCAGTACACACGCGCCAGACAAACGCCACGTTACTGACACAAACCGCCACACATACACGCAGTGGATGCACAAATTCCTTTTCTAATATAGTTTACTTCTCTCGCCTTCTCGGCTCACCCCCCTCTCTCTCTCTCTCTCTCTCTCTCTCTCTCTCTCTCTTCTCTCTCCCTTCTCCCTCCCCCCCTCTCTCTCTCTTTTCTCTCTCTTCTCTCTTCTCTCTCTCTTCTCTCTCTCTCTCTGCTTCTCTTCGACACACAATATTTCTCTTTCACGCACACACGTATGCATGGCACGCACGCACGGACGCACGCACACCACACACAACTTTCCCTCTCTCTCTCGATCTCTGTCTCTGTATCGCCAATTTTTTTCTCAAGCCACATATGTCATATATACTTATATGTATATATATACTAATAATATATTATTATATATATAATATATATATTTATATTCAATGGTTGTTTTATAGAACTCGTGTGTCGGAGAGTGCTCGATACTACATGAGTAGAGCAAATATAGCATAAAGTTATACGGACACGTAGAAATTTTTAACTCTGTTTATTGTCATACAGAAATGTTTCGGTCGTGGAGCGAAAGCCCCACACCTCATTCAGTGCCTTAATACAGAGTGATTCTATTTTAGAACATTCCGAGCCAGTATAAAAACATCATTGCATAATGTCATGTATTGGTTCATGCCGTCGAGCGTCTCTAAGAAATACCATAGATACTAATTAAGCGCGTCATTGTCGGTGACTGCTGCGCGCTGGCGCTAAACTGAATTCATTGTAAGGGAGTTCACAGGAACGTCCTTAATAAAATATTATCTTTTATGTCTGATTTATAACAAGTTCGTATATCTCTTGTTGCAGTGCGCGTCTCACAGGTTTTGCACAATATGTAGGAACTTCTCTGTTAAGCATAGGTTTGCATTTCTTCGTCGTGTTCGAGTTAGTGTGCGCTTTTGCCTCAGTATCTATACGTTAACAAATGGGGCCGGTTCACGAAGCGTACTTACTTAACTTAAAGTATGATTAATATCACTTAATCATTACTTAACTTCCACGTAATCCATTGATTAGTTAATTCAAGTATTTATTATCTATGGTCAAATGTATTTGGAATCGTTGCAATCTCGACGTTTTTACTTGTACGTTTATTTTGTAATATTGAGTTTCATTACCTGTGATTAGTTATGTCACGGCCATGCACAGAGCGTGCGTGTTGATTGATATGGATGTATAATAAATCTACGCTATCTAAAATTTAGATGGTATCTTTTTTTTATCATTAATGTACTGTTTTTTGAAGCTATTTTGGAAAACTTCGTGCACATTATTCTTTCCAACTTGTTGAATTTCGTTGTAGTTTTCAGTAAAAGTTAAAGTTCTATTGGTTGCGTTGTTTGGGAATGACCATTTTCCGAAAAGAATTAATTTGTGGTGGCTAAGCCGAGCGTCCACCAATATTAAAAACGACGTTTATCTTTATACACGTTTTAACTTTAATATCGTTTACCTTATACACAATGTTATATTAAGAATAAAGCAAAAACGACGTGAATTTCGAAACCGCGGTTTCATAGATAGCAGTTTAGCAGTTTCTTAACCACTGTTATTTAACAACACATACAGGTATATCGCACGTCGTTTAACGTTAGTTTATGAATTCGTCATTACGTACATCAACTTCCTTACTCCCTCTCGCGGATGGTTATCGACGCCCACGACCAATCGCAAGCATGGAAAAACTTTTGCCAGTGTAAATGGCCGTATTTCAGCGAAACTGTTACACCAAAAAACGTATGAATTATACGACTTATACACTGCGCACGCTTGGCTTGTGCAACTCATAAACCGCGTGTCTGCGCGCTCCCGCCTGTGTGATTCACCGACTTCTCTTGCGTGCTTCGGTGGTGTTACATTGCTATTGCATGAATCCAACTATATTACAAGCATTAAGTAGCTATACATAGCTCCTTTATACTGGGCGTGGTAAATCGCGTGTTCCACAAATCTATAATAAATACATTCTCTTTGACTTAAACAAAAACAAATCAAAATATTCTTTTCCTCTGTGAGATAACATCGATTTGTGGTAGTATTCTTCCTCGTGCGTGAACACGGCTGCCAGCCATAAGCCAGCAGCACTTGGGAACGTCTCAATAAATAAATAAAAAAAGTAAATAAACACACATAATGTATTACTCTAAAGTCTTACTACTCTGTTTCTCTTACTCTATTTCGCTATTCATCACCTTGTAAATGCCGGATCATATGCTCATTATGCAACCACAAGTTACACCGCACGCTAGCTGCTACTCACACGGACACATATAAGTTATAGTATATATATTATCTATACTTATATTTTATGGTCAGTGTGCAGCAGCTTTAGCTGTTGCCGCGTCTACTGTGTGTGTTGTTGCAGATGAGATTTTGGACGACATTTTTACAGGAAGAATTGTCGGCATAAATTAGGTGAAAGAGAGTAAGAAAAACATATTTAAAGGACTTTGGTTAGTAAATAGATTTTCGTACTTTATTACGGCATTATATTTTATTGAAACGCTCCAAGTGCCTGTGGCCATGGCTACTCTCTAAACGCATGTAAATATGTGATACAGACATACGTCAACGTAAAACCCTGCAGGCGGATTTCTCTTTCAACACAACCCTTTTCAAAAACAACAGATCGTGTGGAATGATTATAATCGTAGCTGGGGCACGTTACTCCCGCGTGCTGGTTATAGGCAGATAGAGGGGGGCGCTAGTCAAAAGGGTAAGGGAAGAGAGACAAAGAGGAGGAGGGAAGGAGGGAGGGGGGGAGAGACAGAGAGGAGGACGGAAGGAGGGACTGTATTCTGCAGTGTTACATAACTATAAAATATATAATAATCCTTCTGCTATCATCTGGCCCCAAAATAGTAATATCTTGTTAAGATCAGATCAATTAAATAGTTAATCCCGCCAACTATGATTATTTTACTTAAAATGTTTCCCTAACACAATACCTCTTGGTGTTATTTGGCCCATAAAGAATAGTGACACATGCATATATATCTGAGATTCTGTATACCAATAAATACGGACTCGAAATTTAAATTTCACAAAAATACTCCCATCACAATAGGTTACTTGCTTGCCAGTGTAAAGGGTGGCACATGACATGATTTATAACAAAGCAATACCAGACAATAATGTATACATGATGCAACTGATCTAATAAATACAGGTAATCCTACTAAATTAATCAGATTCAAGTCAATGATACTGCATAGCTGCTCTATAGCGATACGATCAGGTGGTGTTGGAAAACACAGTAAGACGATGTAGCACATGTCCACCTTGACGAAAATAATATCAAGAACACGGAATGTGGGAGCGTGCGCGTGCCCCTACATACACGGAGCTTTCACATAGCTGGTTATTGCTCAGATGCCTACCTACGTCATCAGCACACAAAAAATGCTACGCACATGAGTCCTAGTGTCACCTTGCCACAACAGTAACGTAACCATTATTTCAAAGAGCGAGTAAAATCGATCTTGTTTTTATTCACTCCTGATCGGTTGAATAACAATAGTTTGATATGATGCACGAGGTACGTTCATTCTCTTCCATCACCGCGCGAACATCGCTAACTCTACCATCACGGGAATGTATGTCTGTTAACAAGTTTAATTCCCCCCAAATAAACCCGCCCTCTTTTACACCCTACCCCTAAATAAATCCCGTATTCCACATAGAAAGCGCGAGACCTCTGCATTTTAGCTGCCACGTTTAGCTTTCACCGCCTGTGTCAACTCGCAGCTATAGATGTCTACGGACGCTGAGAGGGTCTATGTCTCCCTGGTTACTGCCGGAACGTACCCTGGGTACGGTCCGGTATACCGGAATGCCTAATACAGAGTGATCTATTTAGAACATCCCGAGCAGTATAAAAACATCATGCATAATGTCATGTATTGTTCATGCGTGAGTGTTCTAAAGAAATACCATAGATACTAATTAGCGCGTCATTGTCGGTGACTGCTGCGCGCTGGCGCTAAACTGAATTCATTGTAAGAGTTCACAGAACGTTCCTTAATAAAAATTTATCTTTATGTCTGCATTTACTAACAAGTTCGTTTCTCTTGTTCAGTGTCGCGGTCTCAGGTTTGCACAATATGTAGAACTTCTCTGTTAAGCATAGGTTGCATTTCTTCGTAGTGTTCGAGTAGTGTGGCGCTTTGCTCAGTATCTTAGTTAACTGGTATTTATTATCTACCTATGTCAAATGTACTTGGAATCGTGCAATCTCGCGTTTTACTTGTACGTTTATTTGTAATATTGAGTTCATAACCTTGTGATTAGTATGTCCACGAGCATGCGCAGTAGCGTGCGCGTTGATGATATGGATTATAATAAATCTACGCTATCTAAAATTTAGATGGTTCTTTTATATATGATGTTTTTGAAGTATTTGAAAACTTCGTCACAATATTCCTTTCCAAATCGTTGAATCGTTGTAGTTTTCAGTAAAAGGTAAAGTACTATGGTTGCGGTGTTGGGAATCGACCCATTTACGAAAAGAATTAATTGGGTGGCTATAACGCCCACGCCCACAATATAAAAAAACGACATGTTCTTTATACACGTTTTACTTTTAATACGTTTACCTTTACACAAGTTATATAAGAAAAGCAAATAACGACGTGGAATTCGAACCGCGGTTTCATAGATAGCAGTTTAGCGTTCTAACCACTGTACTAACAACACATACACGTATATGCACGTCGTTTAACGTAGATGAATACGTCATTACGTACATCACTTCCTTACTCCCCTCTCGCGGATGGTATCGACGCCCACGACCAATCAAGCATGGAAAAACTTTTGCAGGTAAATGGCCGTATTTCAGCCGAAACTGTTCACACCAAAAAAACGTGAATTTACGCCTATAATACACGCGCACGCGTGCTTGCAACCATAACCGCGTGTGCGCGCCCGGCCGCGTGTGTGTTACATGCTTTGCTATGAACACTATATAGAAGCATTAGTAGCTATACTAGCTCTATACTGGGGTAAATCGGGGTCCACAAATTATAACATAAATACATTCTCTTTGACTTAAACAAAAACAAACAAAAATCTTTTCCTCTGTGAGATAACATGATTGTAGAAGCATGCGTAAACACGGCTGCCAGCCATAGCCACAGGCACTTGCAACGTCTCAATAAAAATAAAAAAAGTAAATAAACACAAAATGTATTTACTACCAGTCTTACTACTCTGTTTCTCTACTCTATTTTACTCTATTTCGCCTATAATCAACCTGTAAATGCCGGTCAATGCTCATATGCAACACACAAAGTACACCGCACGGCTAGCTGCTACACACGGACACATAAATATAATATATATATATTAATATTATATTTATGTGTATGTGTGCAGCAGCTAGCGTGGCGGTCTACTTGTGTGTTGCAGATGAGGCATTTGACGCATTTACAGAAAAGTTGTCGCGAAGTAATAGGTGAATAGAGAGGTAGAAAAAAACATTAAGACTTTGTAGTAAAATAGATTTTCGTATTTATTAGCATTAGTTTATTGAAACGCTGCCAAGTGCCGTGCCCAGAGCATGCTCTCTGAACGGGCATGTAAATATGTGATATCAGACATAACGTCAACGTAAAACCTGCAGGCGTGATTTCTCTTTTCAACACACACCCTTTTTCAAAACAACAAGATCGTTGTGAATCGATTAAATAATCGTAGCTGGGGCACACGTTACTTCCCCGCGGCTGGTTTATAGGCAGATAGAGGGGCGCTAGACTCAAAAGGGTAAGGAAGGAGGGACAAAGAGGAAGGAGGAAGGAGGGAGGGGGACAGAGAGACAGAGAGGAGGACGGAAGGAGGGACTGTATTCTGGCAGTGTTACATAACATAAAATATATAATAATCTTTGGCTATCAATCTGGCCCAAAATAGTATACTTATTAAGAATCAGATCAATTAAATAGTTAATCACGCCAACCATGATATTTTACTTAAAATGTTTCCCTAAGCAAAAATACCTCTTGTGTTATTTGGCACCATATAAGAAATAGTGACACATGCAATATATCTGAGATTCTGTATACTCAATAAATACGGACTCGAAATTTATAATTTCACAAATACTCCCCATCACAATAGGTTACTTGCTTGGCCAGTGTAAAGGTGCAGCATGACATGGTTTATAACAAAGCAATACCAGACAATAATGTAGACATGATGCAACTGATCTATAAAATACAGTATCCTATCTAAATTAACTCAGATTCAAGTCATGATAACTGGCATTAGCTGCTTCTATAAGCGATACGATTCAGGTGGTGTTGAAACATCAGTAAGACGATGGTAGGCACATGTCTCACCTGACGAAAATAATAATGCAAGAACAGTCGAATGTGGAGGCGTGCGCGTGCCCTAACATACACGGACTGTTCACATAGCTGGTTATTGGCTCAGAATGCCTACCTACGTCATCAGCAACACACAAAATGCAACCACATGAAGTCTAGTGCCACTGCCAACAACATAACGTAACCATTATTTCAAGAGTGTATAAAATCGATCTCGTTTATTTCACTCCTGACGGTTGAATAACAATAGTTTGATAGTATCTGCACGAGGTATCGTTCATCTCTCTTCCATCACATGCGCGAACATCGCTTAACTCTACCATCACGGGAATGTATATGTCTGTTAACAAAGTTTAATTCTCCCCAAAATAAACTCCGCCTGCCTCGTTTACAACCTATCGACCTAAATAAATCCCGTATTCCAACAAGGAAAGCTCGAGACCTCTGCATTTAGCTGCCACGTTTAGCTTTCCCGCCTGTGTCAACTCGCAGCTTATAGATGCCTACGACCCTGAGAGGGTCTAAATGTCTCCCGGTACTGCCGGAACCGTACCCCTGGTAACTATCTAATATGCCGAACGATTACCTCAGTCTAACTCCACAACGATCTAGGGAGTTGCCTACGCCTACTCCAGGGGCGTGTACGGGGAGGGGGGGTCCAGGAGTCCGGACCCCCCTGCTCGCGCAGAAACGCATCTAGGGGGTCTAATTCTCAAATTTTTCGCGTGCCTCGCAAATTGGGGGTCTACGGTTGACACCCCCCTGGTACAAAATCCTGTACACGTGCCCTGTACTCCCTAAACCCTAACCCTAACCATATCAGATAGTATACCAGGGTATCGTTCCGGTATAAGCCGGACCGTACCAAGGGTAACGTTCCGGCAGTACCGCTGGGGGCATAGACCCTATGAGCTCTACTGACAGCATAAAGCTGGGTTTACACTGCCAATTTGAGTTGGTGAATTGCAGAATAGAACATGTTCTTTTCTCCCAACTAGCTGCATCAATCGGTTGACGTGCAACTTTTGCGTTTACACTGCCGATTGTCAGTTGCGAAGATTGCGAAGTTGGTACAATTCGGCAATTCGCCAACACAAAGTTGGCAGTGTAAACCCAGCTTAAAGACACGCTGCACCAGCCTGGCCCCGACCAAGATCTACGAGGTCCCGCCGACAGTGCTAAACGCTAGGTGCTCCTTCCCACCGAGGTCTCTCTCTCTTCTCTCTCTCTCTCTCTCTCTCTCTCTCCTCTCGTGTTGTGTCAGCAGTGCTAACGCTAGTGCTCCA